GGCCTCTCAGGCTTTCGGACTCACCATCAGTCTGAAGAAAACACAAGTCATGGGACAAGGAGTGGACTCCCCACCTGACATCGGCATCTCTGATTCCAAACTGGAAGTTGTTCACGACTTCGTGTACCTGGGCTCCACAATCTCTGACTCCCTCTCTCTTGATACGGAGCTAAACAAACGCATCGGTAAGGCATCTACTACCATGTCCAGACTGACAAAGAGAGTGTGGGCCAACAATAGGCTAACTGAGTATACTAAGATTCAGGTTTACAGAGCCTGTGTCCTGAGCACTCTCCTTTATGGCAGTGAGTCTTGGACACTCCACGCCCGTCAGGAAAGACGGCTGAGTGCCTACCACATGCGCTGCCTTAGACACATCTTGGACATCACCTGGCAGGACAAGGTGACAAACAACAACGTCTTGGGGAGAGCAAGAATCACCAGCATGTACACAATGCTGAAACAAAAACGAATGCGCTGGCTCGGGCACGTTGTGCGAATGGGCGACGGCAGGATCCCCAAGGATCTCCTGTACGGAGAGCTGAGGCAGGGAAAGCGTCCAACAGGCAAGCCCCAGCTACGGTACAAAGACGTATGCAAGAGGGACCTGAAAGCCATGGACGTCGATCTAGCTATATGGGAGACACTGGCTGCAGACCGTTCAGCCTGGAGGCAGTCTGTTCAACGAGGTCTCTCCAAGTGCGAGGAGTCACTTGCCAAGGAATCGGAGGCAAAGAGACAGAGAAGGAAAGCCGGTAACCAGGAAGACAGACCAGAATCGGACTTCGTTTGTGCTCGGTGTGGGATGGACTGCCACTCTCGGATTGGCCTCATCAGTCACACCAGACGCTGCACCAGGATTGACAACTAGGGCGCAACTCCATAGTCTCCCGAGACTGAAGGATGCCTACTACTCGAGGGCGAGGCTCTACATCTTAAACTCGCTCCCTGTAGACAGCATTACGTAAACACCTAATTAGAGAGAAGATCTTCTCTCTAAACATTAGAGAGAAAGTATGACGCTGGAGGCTAGTGATCAACGGTACCGCAAGAGTCGGTGCCAAGACCCATCCTCTTACATATTTCACTGACACGAACAATCAGGTGAATCCAGTCATATCCGAGTTCTCAGGTAATGCAAAACTACTACAAATAATACTACAAATAGTTCGAATCCTCGTCACGGCCATTGTGGATTTGTTTACTACAAATAATATGTGTGTGTGAGGACTGCAGAAGGTTATAGGACCTGAACTAGCTGCAGAAATGATCTGAAATATAACTACCTGATTCCAATCCAAGTAGGCGCAAGGTAATGGGAGTAGAGGAGGGAGGGAGACCACAGGGCCAGCACACAGTGGGGCAGCTTCCAGTATTGCAATATGAAATGGATCTAGAAGTGGAGAGTAGCAAAGCTGTCACCGGAGAAGCACACATCAACAGAATGTCATCAGTGGCATATGCGCAGCTGGCAAACATAACAGATCTCAGCAGTGTTTAAGAGGAAACACTCAGGTCAGTGTTGAGGGTGAGACCAGCTGACCTCGACAGTAACTAGTACCCCCACAAGGATCAGTACTGGCCTTAATTATGGTACCTATATATATATATATATATATATATATATATATATATATATATATATATATATATATATATATATATATATATATATATATATATAATATAAATGACTTGACAATTTGGGGTGAGTAAGTATATTTTTTATGTTGACCAAACCACACTAGAAAGTGAAGGGACGACGACGTTTCGGTCCGTCCTGGACCATTCTCACAATCGACTTGAGAATGGTCCAGGACGGACCGAAACGTCGTCGTCCCTTCACTTTCTAGTGTGTGGTCTGGTCAACATATTTCAGCCACGTTATTGTGACTCCTCGTCTGCAGTATACTTTTTTATGTACCGAGATTGTGAAATCCTGATTCCATTATTTTACAGTATTCGTCAGACGTAATCCGATATATTTCAGCTGCAGTGTAACTCATACCAAACCACCACTACACTACAAGTGTTTACTCACCTGGTTGTGCTTGCGGGGGTTGAGCTTTGGCTCTTTGGTCCCGCCTCTCAACTGTCAATCAACTGGTGTACAGGTTCCTGAGCCTACTGGGCTCTATCAACTCTACATTTGAAACTGTGTATGGAGTCAGCCTCCACCACATCACTGCCTAATGCATTCTACCTGTTAACTACTCTGACACTGAAAAAAATTGTGCGCCTGCGTTCCCTCATTCATAATGAGTTTCCCATTAAAATAAAATTGAGAAGTTCCCTCCAGCAGCAGAACAAAAAGCCTTTATGCAATAAGAGATGAAGGTACGGGAGCACACGTCGTTACCCGGCCATATATAGACCCCTGAAGAGCCAGCTTCCTCTCATCCCAGCTCATTGACACTCCCCGTCCCCTGGTCACAGGAACAGTCCGGGCCACGACGTATTGTCTCACACACACCACTGTAGGTCACCCGCTCACCTGCGCACTCTCCGGCAAGGGGCACCCGGGGCGGGGTCCAAGACCTAACCCAACGTGGAGCGCATATACGCATACGTGGAGCGTGGAGCGCATATATATATATATACGTGGAGCGCATATATATATATACGTGGAGCGCATATATATATACGTGGAGCGCATATATATATACGTGGAGCGCATATATATATATATATATATATATATATATATATATATATATATATATATATATATATATATATATATATATATATATATATATATATATATATATATATATATATATATATAATATTCGACCTTGGGGGGAGAGATCTCGATAAAAAAAAAGCCTAACGTGTATGAATACAATCTGACTTCCTCTCTCCCCCCAACACAATGAATTATTTGAATAAAAGAAAGAATCATATATGTTATGAGGTAGATGAGAGATAAACAGCGCTGAAGGCCAGATCCTTGGGGGCTAGCGTTACCCAACGTTGCAAGGGGACGAATCTGGGGTACAGGACGGACATAGGCTGGTCGGGGTGGCCAGAATCCAAGAGAGAACAGTGTACCACAGTCACATACTGACCCCCATGACTGTTTTTGACACTGCCTGCCAGCTATGCCTGACTAAATATGTGACAAAAATAATGTTTTTTTTTCTTATAGTAATATGACAAATATGCACTGATATTGGGATAATTAACTGAAACGTTCTAATTATTTGACTTTGTTTTAGTAGCATAAAACCTACGATCCTTCTACAGGATACGATCCCTGACCTTTTCTCAAAATCAAAGAGAGATTATTATTATTATTATTATTTTACGATTTCACACCGCTAGGCTCCTCCCACCGGTTGACTACCCTCATGTCAATGTATAACTATTATATTATGTATATATGAGAGAGACAGAAAACAGACAGAGGGACAGAGACGGTGATAGTCCTGCATAGAGACTGGGTCGACCAGAGCAGAGAAACAGACACAGGAAAACATACAGACAGGCAGCAGACAACAGCAGAGACAGTCAAGACACATAGATAATAACAGAAATCACTCAAATATGTCAATATGGTGATATTTATAAACACTGCAGGGAAAGCAGAGCGATACAGGAAATCAAACCTGCCTGCTCAGCAGCCCAGGCCGTGCCAGCAGGGCCAAGTGGCTGACTGCTGGAACACCACATTGTCCAGGGAAGGGGGGGGGGAGGGGTGAGGGAATACTAAGGGGAGGGGGGGTGAGGGAGAGACGTGAAAGGAGGGGGGTGTAGGGGGGGGGAAAGTGCGTGAGTGACAAAGGAAAGACAAAGATCATTTACATTTTATGAATAAATCTTACTGAATTATGGTGAGGTGGTCCAGAGAGAGAGAGAGAGAGAGAGAGAGAGAGAGAGAGAGAGAGAGAGAGAGAGAGAGAGAGAGAGAGAGAGAGAGGAGAACTAGGACCTAGGATTCCTACCTGCAGCACCTTCGCCTCGTCATGAAACAATTGGGTTGACAAGGTTCCAGGTATTCGATCACCGTCAGTTAACATCCTTACTCTAATAAGATCTATTTCAGTTACTCCTTTTAGGCCAAGATGTCTATTTATTTTGTTAATAAATATGTTGTTAATAATAATTCTGTGCTCTCCCGGGTCATTTGTTTATCACATCTGTGTGTTTAGGTCTTCACCTCTGTCTTTAGAAGACATATTCACCCAAGCTTTCATACATACTTTAATCCTCCTTACATTCTTTTATCCTCCATGCTTACGTTAACATGTTTCTTTACACAAGCATGTGATCAACTAGATTGTTACTGTACCTTTACACCACTTATACGACACAGTTTTGTATGTCCTTGCGCCTATACTTTTGTGTCTTTGACGCATTGTTCTCTTTCATTATACATGTTCTTCAGTGAAGACCCAGGCCTGGCAGACCATCATACCTATTGTATTAGTGTTGGGGGGTTCATTTCTACCTTGTCATTCATATCACCTTGGTGTCATACACATATCATTCCTCAAATTATGCCAGCTTATTTCCTGTATATTCTTTCGTCTCGTCAACACTACATTATTGTAATCAAATTTTGTAAATTAGGTTTAATTAAAAAAAATAGGTATTTGTAATGCTGTTCTATTTTTTTTTTTAGTATACGAGTCTGTGATCTGTATTATGTGGAGTCCTAGCACTGACGTCACACAAACAGCTGTTCCATGTAAACAATGCAGGTATTGGGGGGGGGGAAGGGAGAGGGGGGGTTGTACAGAAGCGCAAGGGGGTTCAGAGAAAGGGCTGCTGATGCAATCTTCAAATGGAATCACTGATGTAACTCATCATTCAAAACTAACTATAAACTTTGTGTGGACCCAACGTGGGTTGACCCCCAGCACCCCACAGTGTGTTGGAGGTCAACCTACAGCCTCGAACAGCTCTTCATGTGACGTCACTCAATATATATGACAACTGCCAGTCAAAAATATTTTCTGTATACTAAGCTGATTTTTTTGTCTCTTTTTTTTCAGGAAACCGCAAAGCTAAAAAGAAGGGAAAGGTGCAACTTAGACTAAAAATGGTGCACGTAACCGTCCATAGAAAATGGTGCAGTTATCCGTTCACAAAAAATGGTGCAGTTAACCGTCCATAGAAAAAGATGTAACTAACCATCCATAGAAAATGGTGTTGTACACCCAAAAAAATGGTGCAAAAGATCACATAAAATAGTGCAACACCCAGAATGGTACAACTGTACATAGAAACTGCATGTACATGAAAATTAAAACTTTCCATTCTGATATGACACCAGGGTGGACAGTGGCGAAGTTAATAAATTAATATGATCTGGAATACTAAAAATAACGCCTTCAGTCTAACGTGTTTCTTAGTAATTGCAATGTTTAAGTATGCTATAGGTCTTACGTGTTGCCTGAGCTCGTAAGTCACGTGAAAGTGACTGAAAGTGTCAAACGAAAAATGTTAATCTAAGATGTATTTTTATAGCGGTGCTTTGATTTTCTGCGGCGTGAGAAAGGCTTGGATGTGTCATAGTTAAAATATTTAGAGTATGATGCAGTTTAGACAAAAAATTAAATATTTAGCCCGGCGAGTCTCTTAAAAATGGCGTCCCACAGCGTGTCTTCAAGATGGCGAGCCACAGGGCGTGTGCAGCACCAGGCGGAGTGACTAGAAGCACACAGACACACCGCTCACAGACCTGTGGGTGACACCTTGGTATCATGGAGTCTGTGGAGACGGAGGTCCTCCTCCCGCCGGCGCCAAGCCCCTTCTCCGGCGCCTGCGTCACCCCGCCGCCACCTTCCTCGTCGCTCGAGGACACAGCCGCCCTCTCCTCCACTGTGCCCGTCGACGCCCACTGTGCCCCGTTATCCCCCGTGTCGTCCTCGTCGCCGGTATTCAGCCCGTCTTGCGCCTCCACCTGCGGCAGCGGCCCGCGAGCGTCGCCAGGAGCCTCCACCACCCCCAGCAGCACCACCACCAGCAGCTACACCACCGAGATAGAGCGGGGGACGCCTGTCAAGGGCGGCGACGGCCCGCCCTCAGACTGCGACAGTGACGTGGTGGATCTCCTGAAGGTGATGAAGAAGAGGGAGCAGCAGCCGCCCGACCCGCACGTGCTCCACGAGGACTTGTGCACCACTGACGACGACGACGACGACGACGACTTCCTGGTGCACTTCGCGCACACGGGACGCAAGACAGGTAAGTGGTTCGAACCCTGCGCTTATTCCAGTTTCCTTAACATCAGACCAACAACGCTGAGGCTTCCTTAAGCTGAGGCAAAGATCTAAGCAAAGTTTGGGGGGGGGGGGAAACATGAGCCAATTTCTATGCCTTGGAGACATGATCACTCGGGACAAAATGGTTACACAGTGTAATGGGATCCTGGATGGTGATGACGTAAGTGATGGTGACGAGCAACCCCCAGAGATATCACCATACCCAGCTGGTGATCTGGGGCGATGATAGTGATGCACGGGGACCCCAGACACAAGTAGTTACACGTGAGGGGTTAGAGGGCCCTCTTGGTCACGCTCTCTCTCCCCCGGGGGCAGGTCCCACGTGGACAGGAGCCCAGGGACAGGACCCGTACAGGGACAGGACCCGACAGGGACAGGACCCGACAGGGACAGGACCTGGTCGAGACAAAGGCTTAAGTGTTGAATTATGAGACGATGTGGTCGTCAGGTGAGGTTTGACCCCTTGTCTTCCTACTTGGGAGGGTTGGGTGTCATCCCTGATGTAACACGACCCTCCTCTCTCTCTCTCTCTCTCTCTCTCTCTCTCTCTCTCTCTCTCTCTCTCTCTCTCTCTCTCTCTCTCTCTCTCTCTCTCTCTCTCTCTCTCTCTCTCTCTCTCTCTCTCTCTCTCTCTCTCTCTCCTGCCCAAGAACTGAACCCAGCACCTATCGGTGGTGAGGCGAGTATATTAACCACTCGACACAGGTTTGGAAATAACTGATCGTTCGTTGTCAAGTGTATGTAGTATGCAGCAACAGAAAGGAAGAATACACAGTCAATATGTTGGTATCGGAGTTCATACAGATTGATTTTTTTTATTGTTGCCGCCGAAGGCGGCTAGTTTATTGTGCACCCTATACTCATCCTGTGAGCGGTAGCGCAAAAAGCATTACAGAGGGCACAAAAGGTCTTTATCAGACCTCATCTTAGATTATTACATAAACAATTTCATCTATCCTTCACACCTTATGGTTACAATGTCAGCTAGTTACAGAGACAATGCTATTTCAAGAGCTATATATTTACAGTAAGTCATTATTCCCACAGAGTTAAGAGAGAACATGGAGTCATGAACGCCACACAAAGACGGGAAACCACACTAGATTTCCGCCGAGAGAATTACATCGTGTTGAGAGCAAAAGTCTTTTATAGTATCCGACTGGAGAGATATGAGGAGGCGGCGGGATGTAGTGACTAGAATACTTCAAGAGATTCAATTAATTAATTCAATTTCCTTAATTCGAGAGAAGAGAAGGAGGGGAAAGGCGTTGCTACCGTACATGAACGAAGACATAGACAGGGCTGCCTCGCGTGCTGGAAAGACAAGGAAATTATAAAGACAGTGCAGGTATATATATAGTACAACACTTCATATGCAACTTGTATTACACAGAAAATGGTGCACGTAACCGTCCATAGAAAATGGTGCACGTACCCGTCCATAGAAAATGGTGCACGCACCCGTCCATAGAAAATGGTGCACGTACCCGTCCATAGAAAATGGCGCACGTAACCGTCCATAGAAAATGATGCACGTACCCATCCATAGAAAATGGCGCACGTAACAGTCCATAGAAAATGGTGCACGTACCCGTCCATAGAAAATGGTGGGAGCGGTACGGGAGGAGGAGGAGGCAGAGGCCCGGACATCACCTGAGCCGCTACACAAGAGTGCTCTACAGCAATAAGGAGGAAGGGAGAACTTGTACGAGAGAAATAGTGAAGACAAGAGTGACAAGGAACTCAATTTCAAATTAAAATTTCTATACAATAAGATGTACAATGCAGGTGTGAAACCGATGCGCTGAAACTGAAGTGTAAATATTAAACACATTTCAGTCACTCAATATGTTAATGAAGTTTGATTTGCTGAAGAGATATGAAGAGGCGGCGATGGATAGGAGAGAGAGGGAGAGAGAGAGAGAGAGAGAGACAGAGAGAGAGAGAGAGAGAGAGAGAGAGAGAGAGAGAGAGAGAGAGAGAGATGAAGGGGGGGGAGGTACTTAAGAAGTCAGGGAATTGCTTAAAGCAACAGGACCAGACGCTCTGTTGTACTGGCTCACTTCTCTAGCTTCACCTCTATTATGTAAGGCCTCTCCTGCCCCCCCCCTTGCCCCGTTACACACATGGGAGCACCTCTGCAACGCTGGAGCACCTCTGCAGCACTGGGCACCTCTGTAACACTGGAGCACCTCTGTAACGCTGGAGCACCTCTGCAACACTGGGGCACCTCTGCAACACCGGAGCACCTCTGTAACGCTGGAGCACCTCTGCAACACTGGGGCACCTCTGCAACACTGGAGCACCTCTGCAACACTGGAGCACCTCTGCAACGCTGTAGCACCTCTGTAACACTGGAGCACCTCTGCAACACTGGAGCACCTCTGCAGCACTGGAGCACCTCTGCAACGCTGTAGCACCTCTGCAACACTGGAGCACCTCTGCAACACTGGAGCACCTCTGCAGCACTGGAGCACCTCTGCAACGCTGTAGCACCTCTGCAACGCTGGAGCACCTCTGCAACGCTGGAGCACCTCTGCAACACTGGAGCACCTCTGCAACACAGGATCACCTCTGCAACACTGGAGCACCTCTGCAACACTGGAGCACCTCTGCAACACTGGAGCACCTCTGTAACACTGGAGCACCTCTGCAACACTGGAGCACCTCTGCAACACTGGAGCACCTCTGCAACACTGGAGCACCTCTGCAACACTGGAGCACCTCTGCAACACTGGAGCACCTCTGTAACGCTGGAGCACCTCTGCAACACTGGGGCACCTCTGCAACACTGGAGCACCTCGGCAACACAGGAGCACCTCTGCAACACTGTAGCACCTCTGCAACACTGGAGCACCTCTGCAACACTGGAGCACCTCTGCAACACTGGATCACCTCTGCAACACTGGGGCACCTCTGCAACACTGGAGCACCTCTGCAACACTGGATCACCTCTGCAACACTGGAGCACCTCTGCAACACTGGAGCACCTCTGCAACACTGATGCACCTCTGCAACACTGGAGCATCTCTGCAACAACAGCCAGACAATGAGAGGAGAGGACTTGCTAGAAGAGGGATGGTGCCAGTGACCTCACACAGGGGTCAGTACTGGTCCTTATCACTGTGAATGACATTCCAGATGAGACACTTTTCTCTCTCTCAGTGTTCACTGGTGCGTAAATTATAACGGAAATAATTACGATGAGAGAGAGAGAGAGAGAGAGAGAGAGAGAGAGAGAGAGAGAGAGACTTTATGGGTCGCGGAACCTGTCATTAAAAGCCCACGTATAACTAACATGATATGACTATAGCCCGGTATAGGCTGAGGAATTTGTTGAGCAGTCATTTATGTAGTGAATGGCGGGAGGGGGTAGACCACAGTTCACACTACGCTGGCACAACTGCCTGTACACACACACACACACACACACACACACACACACACACACACACACACACACACACACACACACACACACACACACACACACACACACACACACAATTGGCAGGAGTAAGCGGAAAGGCCCTAGTATGGGTGAAGAACTACCTAACAGGAAGGAGCCAGAGGGTAATGGTAAGGGGCGAGAAGTCGGACTGGCGAACAGTAACAAGTGGAGTACCTCAAGGATCGGTGCTGGGACCAATCTTCTTTCTAATTTACGTAAATGATATGTTTACAGGAGTGGAATCATACATGTCAATGTTTGCGGATGACGCAAAATTAATGAGAAGAGTTGTGACAGACGAGGATTGTAGGATCCTCCAAGAGGACTTAAACAGGTTGCAGAGATGGTCAGGGAAATGGCTACTGGAGTTTAACACCAGTAAATGTAAAGTTATGGAAATGGGATCAGGTGATAGGAGACCAAAGGGACAGTACACAATGAAGGGGAACAGCCTACCTGTAACGATTCGAGAAAGAGACCGGGGAGTGGATGTGACACCTAATCTAACTCCTGAGGCACATATAAATAGGATAACGACAGCAGCGTACTCTACACTGGCGAAAATTAGAACTTCATTCAGAAACCTAAATGAGGAGGCTTTTAGGGCGTTTTACACTGCCTACGTGAGACCCGTCTTAGAGTATGCCGCGCCATCATGGAGCCCCCACCTGAAGAAACACATAAAGAAACTGGAGAAGGTCCAGAGGTTTGCGACGAGGCTTGTCCCAGAGTTACGAGGGATGGGATATGAAGAGCGTCTGCAGGAACTGAACCTTACGACGCTAGAGAAAAGAAGGGAGAGAGGAGATATGATAGGGACATATAAAATACTCAGAGGAATTGACAAAGTGGAAATAGATGAAATGTTCACACGTAATAATAACAGAACGAGGGGACATGGGTGGAAACTGGAAACTCAGATGAGTCACAGAGATGTTAGGAAGTTTTCTTTTAGCGTGAGAGTAGTGGACAAATGGAATGCACTTGGGGAACAGGTTGTGGAAGCAAATACTATTCATACTTTTAAAACTAGGTATGATAGGGAAATGGGACAGGAGTCATTGCTGTAAACAACCGATTGCTGGAAAGGCGGGATCCAAGAGTCAATGCTCGATCCTGCAAGCACAAATAGGTGAGTACACACACACACACACACACACACACACACACACACACACACACACACACACACACACACACAAGAAAGGGGATAGACAGGAGGCACTGAACTACAGGCCAGTGTCCCTAACCTGAATACCATGCAAGCTGATGGAGAAGATTGTGCGAAGAAAGCTAGTGGAACATCTGGAGCGAAAAAACTTTGTAACACAGCATCAACATGGGTTCAGGGATGGCAGGTCCTGCCTCACAGGGTTACTTGAATTCTACGACCAGGCAACAAAAATAAGGCAAGAAAGAGAAGGGTGGGCAGACTGCATATTTTTGGATTGCCAGAAAGCCTTTGATACAGTACCACACAAGAGGCTAGTGAAAAAGCTGGAGATGCAGGC